TTCTAACTCAGAAAAAGAAACATAGAATGATCAACCAAAGATAATTGCTAAAAAGGACACAAAGTCTTCTTTAGATTCATTGATTCTGAATAAACCATTTCAAATCAAAACTCAGATTCCCAAGATTCCAATGTGCTCTGACTTTGTAGACATGTGTCTAAAAGCCAAATATGCATTAGAACTTGAAAAGAAGCCATAGGAGAAAATCAAACAGATTCATGTGAAAGCAAAGCCAAAGTCTTATCCTTTTAAATTCATAAAGTTTACTTCAGAACTGAGGAAAAGGAATTTTAAATGAGAAATCTAACTATTTTTCATCTAAAACAGAAGGATCGATGAAGAGAGGAGACAACAGAAAGATTCCAAGAAGAAAATAGTCAATTTCTAACAAAATAAGGATTCTAGACTAGATAGGATGTTTGTAAAGAACTCTAATGCTAGTTCAGAAGCATTCTATAATGCTACTTTTTCTAAATCAATGAAATCATCAAGAGTTTATAAGCAATCAAATCAATGTGTACATAATTGTCATTGTTTTAATCTCTTGCATCAACTCAAGAAGCACTTCTTGGGAACTAAGTTTGTTCTCAATAAGTCCATGTCCAGACATGAAAAATATAAGGCTCAATCTTCTATTCCCAAACAGAAGCCTAAGTCTACTAAGACAGAAGACAAATCTATAGTCCCCAAAGCTAACATTAAAGGACCCATAATAAAATGGGTACCTAAAACTCCTTAAATTGTTTTCCAGAACCAACATGTGTAGGAATGATATTTGGATTCTGGATGTTCTAGGCAATCATGACTGCCAACAAAAGTCTCTTGTCCTCATACAAAAAAAAGTTGGTAGGCTTTGTGACTTTTGTTGATAACAAAATAGGAGTAATCAAAGGGCATGTAAATATAATAAAAGGAAAGATTTATGTTTCCAAAAAATCCATTATATGGATGGACATCATCACAATTTTGTTGAGTATAAGCAGTTTTGTGATAAGAAATGCAAATTCATATTCGATTATGAGATATGCATCATTGAAACCATAGATCATCAAGAACTTCTAAGGGCTAAGAGACATGGTGATCTATATGTCTTAGATTTCAACTACATTGTTAGTCTAGAAGCACTCTATCTTGTATCTCAAAAGTCTGAGGAAAGCTGGCTATGGCATAGAAGATTCTCTTACCTCGACTTTACAAATCTCAACAAATTGAACAAACAGAAGTTGGTTGAAGGTCTACCAGATATAAAGTTTGACAAAGACCATCTCTATGCTGCTTGTGAGATGGGCAAAATCAAGAGGGCAACCCATAAGTTAAAAACCAATACTTCTTGTTCCAGAACTTTTAAAATGCTCTATGTCAACCTCTGTGGTCCTATATCAACCAAAGTCTCCCTGGAAGAAAGTATATTCTAGTTTTGGTTGATGAATACTCAAGGTACACTTGGGTGAAGTTCTTAAGAAAAAAAGTCTGAAGTCCCAAAGTGTTGATCCAAATTATCTCAGTAATTTCATGATGACCCTTTATACTTAGTGAAAAATATTTGAATATGTTTTTGTTCAGTTTCAACGATTATCTCTGAGTGTGTTTAGTTATTATTGAACATGTATTGTAAACTTCTCTAAAGAACAAGTATTCCTCAAAGACAAAACTCACACCAAACGAACCTTTAGTAATGTCAAAAATGTAACTGAAGATAGAAACAACAGTTGGTGATCTAAAGCGGATTTAGTGATCACAAACGTGTCTAATCAAAGTGTGAAGTCTGACCAAGACTGGGTAAACACTGAAGAAACTCTAGAGTTGAATCAATGTCAGCGATCAAATGAATCTTGCTCTACAAGATTAGTTTTTTCTTATCCTCTTGCACAAATAGGAAAACCCCATACCTCACATAGAAAAACACATTTACGGAGTTACTCTATTGTCTCCAAACGTGTTTACCTACTTTGTAAAGACAACTGTTCTTATGCGGCCAAAAACATACATATCTGAAGACAAAGAACAAGCTTCCGTTAGAAGTTTGCCACCTGGCTTGTACCCTCTGACATGTATCAAATGCAATGAGTATAAATAGCTGAGAAGACTTTCTTCTCAGCGAATCACCTTCTTCTCATTCTAACTCTTTTCTTTCCTGTTCGTATCTTCTGTGCGAACTGTGCTTCTAAGATTGTTTAGACGAGTTCTTAACTTTATCTTCTTTCGTAGCAAGGGTGGTGCCTGATTGATTTGAGCTTGGGCTCCAAAGGTCAAAAGTGCCTGGAGGTCCCAGGTTCAAATCCAAGGAGGAATAAAAATCCCCTTGTGGCCATAGAGGTTCAAATGAGGTGACTCCAGGCAACCTGCAAAGTAGGTGGTTACCCTGGGATTAGTCGGCTCGCTTAGCGGGTTGGATATCCAGGTTAATCAAAAAAAATTCTATATTGATCTTCTTTTATCAATAAACGAATTTAAAAGGTGAAAATTGTGTGTTTGTATTCATCTTCCCCTTCTACAAATTGCTACCTTTAAACTCTTGTAGATTCGTTTGGCACTAACACAAAGATACTAATATTATTACTCAAGAAGATTCAAGTCCTGCTTCAATGTAAGATCATCAAGCTTCATAGTGACAATGGTTATGAGTTCAAAAATATCAGAATTTAAGAATACTTGCAAAATGAAGGCATTTCCCAGCACTTCTCTACAGCTAGAACACCACAACAAAATGGTGTCGTGGAAAGAAAAAACAAAACCCTTGTTGAATCTGTTGAACTAGATCGAAGTGGGAAAAATGTCAGACTACCTATAGTTGTTAAAAAATGTAGTATCACATTGTTTCTTGAAGCAATCAACAAACCCGTTTCAAAAACATCCATCCAATGCTCATTTGGTGCAAATGAGTCCAGCCCAAAGAAGTTCAAGGAGTTATAAAACTGACGACATAGTTCAATATCATACACCTGAGATATTTTGTCTTGTACATGTTTAACTCCTTCATTAAATCATATCGAATAGACGGCCATTCATCTTCGTGCTACTGAGACAAACGGCTATCGCTCGAAATCCACAGTTTTCATCGACTTTTACATCTTGTACCTATGTGATGTAAAGATGTACTATGTGATGTAAAGATGTAAATTATTTAAAAATTGATTAATACATTGAGATAAAAAAAATTAACTTGCATGAACTACGTTACGTACATGCAGGATGTAAGGATGAAAAATACTTGGAAATTGATTAATGTATGGATGTGCATAATTTTTTTGATCGAAGTATAAACTATGTCTCGCTTGTTCATTGTTCACCAAAACATCAAACTCCACAAATGTTGAGCGTCTGGACAACTATGCCTATGAGGTTCTTGAGTTGGTGGGTCAACACGACTTTATTTGACAACCTTACTCTTCAATGAGGGATGACCACGAGGAGTTGTATGAACAGTCGGTTCACAAATACAAGTTGTCCAAGACGCGATTATCTCTCTTATTTTTCTTAGAAAACTAGACTTCGTTGATCTCTACTGTTTTTTGAAGTTCTCAGTAAACATTTGCACTTCATTATCACAACAAATATCATCATCTTCCACGGAAAATCAAGTTTCCTTCAAAACCTGTCAATTGATTCAAGTGGAATAGATTCGTCTGCATTGAAATAATATGTCTGTTCATGTGCACATGGTAACCCGTACACATGTACGCAAATTGACATTTACAATTTCCTGAAACTAAGCCAAGATCTTTTGACTGCTCAAATTCTTTGAAGATTATATCCAATACATGCAATGAAACAAAAACATGTAGCTGATGGAAGTGTGGTTTGTTATATCTATGCCTGACGACCTTTTTGCTCTGTTGGAAGCTTGCTTTGATTGACCTCTAAGCTTTATGTTTTCAAAATTTCTTTCCTATATATTTTTATTTTAACAATATTGTTTTTTATAAAAAAAATAATACACTTTAAAATAATTTATATTTGAATTTTTAATCAAAAACTACGAGTTATTATCTGAATTTTTAGAGATTTATTGAAAACTGATGAAATTATTATTTGAATATTTAAAAACTTAAATAAGAATTGATTAGTTACTTTTTAAGTTTTAAAGTCGGAAAAAAATGATGAATTATTTTCTGATTTTTAAAGTTGCAAAAGAATTAATGATATATTCTATGAAAATATAAATAAAATAAAAATTAAGAATTTGCATATGAATTTTTTAAGTTTTTATTTGATTTCTATAAGAAGAAACCATACGACTATATATATATATGATTAAATTTTGTAAAATTATAAAATAAATGATATATTATTATTTATAAATAAGGACTTATTGTCTTTCCAATTTATTAGTTTTAAATTTGATTAATATATAATACAAATAAAAAATTATAATTACTATAAACTAATAATTATTATCTATTAATTAAAAAAAAAAGTGGGGGGGGGGGGACATAAGAGAGAGTGAGAGAAAACTTTTCAAAGTTTTATGTCATTTAATGTTATTAGTAGATTTTTTTTTACTTTTTTAATAGGTAGGGATGCAAATAACAACATAGTTTGTAAAATATCTTTTTTTTATAGGCGGGGTTGCAAATAACAACTAAAATAATTTGTTTTAATCGTGACTTTTGATCATGAAAATGAATGGATGTAATTGGTTTGTATAAAAAACATAGTTTGCAAAGTATCTCCTATATATATATACTAAAAATTAACTAATTAGATTTTATTAACTTTTTCAAATTATTTGAATACAATTTGTTGATAATTCTATCAACAACTAACATATATAAATAATTTTCGAATTATTAACCAAAATCATCATGTTACCGTGTAATATACGTTTCCCATACTAGTTTGTTTAATACTTTAATTTGGATTCAATTTGCCATATTTTTAGGAGTAATTATATTTTACTTTTAAAATATAAAAATGTTAAAAACAGATTTATTAAAAAACGACCTATTTTTGGATCTTTACCTACGACGAAAAGTGACCTAGCAACCCACTCAAGTAAGTAGTGCTGGTAAACACACTCTAGTGGGGAAATTGCACACACTCCCACCAACCATTGCCATTGCTAAAGGAGCACGGGAAGAAGTTGGTTGGTGAAATCTACAATAATGGCGATGGCATCAAGATTCTGGGCATCTAAAGCTGCTTCATACCTCAAGATCTCTACTTTCAACAGAGCTTTTGCTTCTGGTAGTTACTCCACTTCCATCACCTTTCCTTCTTGTTATTGATTTCATTACTTTTTCCCTTAATTTTTTCTGTGTTCACAATGGTTTTCTTACGTTCAAGATCCGATAGGGCCTTTTGAGTATATGCTCTTGTATGATCCGTGTAGAAAGTTTTTTGTTGATTTGCCAATCGAGTTGATGATTTAAAGCTTTCAATCTAGGAATGAACGTGATCGATCATGTGAAATTGTATACAATTTCGATTATTATTCATTGTTTATTGGATTTGTAGCGATGATGTGAGAGTTCTGGTTTCAAACATAAATCTGCACATTTCATGGCCTTCGTAAATGTGGGCATCAATTTGGATTATTAATGCTACATAGTGGATTCTGTGTCCCTTAGGGTTTGCATCAAGTGCTTATGGTTTTATCTAGGAATTCCTTTTCTGGATGGAAAGATGGAAGAGGATCTGCATCTACATTACCATCAATGGACTTTGCTATAATCGGATTCATTGGGAATGTGAATCCCCTTGGCCTTTGATGTTTGTTTATCTAGTACCAGTAGCCCCCTTTTTGGATATGCAAATGGGAATGGATTCAAAGAAGAATAAGATGCAAAAAGCTGATTTTTCATCAAGTTTTCTTGGTATTTTCTTAATCAAATGCCTCAGAATGCTTGGTATGCTTAATCCCGCTTATGCTGGGAGATCTGGACATAATAAGGTACAGCTTCAGATCTAGATTAGGAGAATGTGATCTTGATTTAGGGACTGCTTAGTTGGTTTTCCATTAAGTCCTGCATGGATAAAGCTTTTTTTGTGTACTAATCCGTCTATATAGAGTGGAAAGATTTTTGTTTTGGAGGGTTCTTTCATAAATGGAAGAAGTGTGGTTTTTAGTTGTTAATTGGCAGGGACAAATTTGGAAAAAACTTGGTTTTCTGCATAAAGCTTCCCGTCATAGAAGCTTACTAAAAAAACCACTTTCTATATCATTAAACCACAACCAAAGAGCCATAAATAGCTGACTGAATAAACTTTTGAGTCCCATTAAGCTCATTAAGCTGCTAACAAGCAAGCCTTTAGTTTAGTTTGAGACCGTGACAACAGATGACAAAGCTTGAGGTATATAATCTTCATTCCTGCATTCAGGCATTTTTGTTTCTTTTCGGATATGTATGTTATAATTCCGAATTCTGAGTAGGCCAATTATCACTATGTCATTGATTAGTTTTGTGGAACTCATTTTTGTATCCTTATATTTGGTGGATATTCATTCTTAATCACAGCCTAAGTGCACATGCTGCTTGAACAACCATGCTTTGATTCTACTTGACAGAAGTCCAAGCGTTTCCAAATGGGTTTGTTGTTCTCCTACATGAATATCTCCTACTTACTCAATAGAAATACTTAGGATTGGTCTGTTTCCTTAACGGAAAACAGTCGTTCTATTCTTTGGGGTAAAGGTCAGTTCACTTCCAAATGGGATATACTAGGCTTGTTTTGTTCACTTAGGTCTTCACTTGTGACTTAAATCTTTGTGTGCACTTGGTTTGTCTTGCTTTTATTCTCTGAATGAGAAGTGTGATATCTCGAAACCCCAAAAACTGGTTTCTGTTTCTATCTAAACTTGGTGGCTAGTAGTGAAATGTGCTTCATTTATTTTTCATCGAGTAATCTTGAAATTGTTACATAAACTCATAAATGATGTTTAATCTCTCATTTGGAGAGTAGAGAAGTGAAGAGTGCATCATGATATTGACATCTGCATTATCTACTGCTTCCAGTTGTCAAGGATCTAAGGTACGCAGACTCGCATGAATGGGCGAAAATTGATGGTAACTCGGCAACCATCGGGATCACGGATCATGCCCAGGATCACTTGGGAGACGTGGTTTACGTTGAGTTACCAGAAGTCGGGGTGGCTGTAACCCAAGGTAGCAGTTTTGGTGCAGTTGAAAGTGTTAAAGCTACTAGTGATATTAACTCTCCTGTTTCGGGCAAAGTGGTTGAAGTCAATCAAGAACTCAGCAGCTCACCTGGCTTGGTAAGTCATTTAACGCTACCTTTTTGTTCTAGTTTTGATACAAATTCCGAATGTGACACAGAATGGAGGCCAATACACATCACAATGCTTTAAGAGAATGATAAGCATACAAAGTTCCTACTTTTCTACTTTTGGCAGGTGGCCCAGAATCACGAAATTAGAAGTCTGACAAATAAACCTAATCGATTATTGCCTAACTAGAGGCATGGAACGTAATAAAATGCTCATTTCACGCATGTACACCGAAAATTTTGAAAAATAAATCTTTAAAGACGATATTGGGGCTCCACGGGAAGGATTTTCACGAGCTCTCTGTGCATATGTTACTGTCCCCGTGTCTTAGAGATGGCGAAAAATCGGTCCCAGGACTGTCCCTTCAAAATCGGGCCAGCCAATCCCAGTGCCGACCAAAAATCCTAGGACCAATCAAGGCCTGGTTAAAGGTCCGATCCCGGTCCCATCGGCTGATCCCAAATCCTTTCCAAGGCCTGGCCAAGTTTTAAAAAGATATATATATACATATCTATATATATAGGGGAGCGTTCAAATAAAAACCACCCAATTTGTGTAAACCGTGAAAACCACATTCAACCAATCATAATTTTTCATTTTGTTCATTTTTTTGTAGTTATGAGAGATTGATTAACCATTTTTATTGTGAAGGGTGTTAATCATGGATATTATCGTCTTCATTATTTTAATTTTAGAGAAATACATGAAACAGTTTCATTAAAGTTTCATTAAATATTTTATGAAACAATTTCATAACCATATATGAAACAAATTCATCAAAAAAAGTATTATATGAAACAATTTCACAAGATTAAACAATTTCATGAAAAAATTTCATAAGATTAAACAATGAAATGGACGTATGAGGGTGGTTTGTACGGTTTACACAAATGAGGGCAGTTTTCATTTGATCGCTCCTCATATATATATATATATATATATATATATATTTTAAATCTTTTTTACACAAAAATATTATACATGTTTTTACAATTACGATTTTTGAAATTTAGTATTGAAATATACTTTAGATAATACATTTAAGTATATAAAAACTTGAAAGAAAAATTGAACACTTAGAAAAAGAACTTGAAAATCTTGTAGTTTCTTTCTAAATCTTGTGTTATAATTTATAAAAGTTTTAACTTTTTTTTCCTTCTAAAAATTGGGCTTAAACATAACTGGTCCCGGGCTGAGCCTTGAAATTACATAAAAAGTGTAACCAGTCTTGGAGTGTCAGATCAGAATTCCAGCGAAGGTTCTTTTTGTATGTATATAATGTTTAAATACGACAAAATGCACACACTTCTCACCGTTGGTTAAGCTTGAACCAAGGAAGGTGGGGTTACCGGGCATTGTTAGGCAATGGCCATTTGGTAAACTTAATGGAAGTTCTTAATGCTTTTAGGTGAACGGAAGCCCGTATGAGGAAGGATGGATTATAAAGGTGGAGTTGAGCAACACCAATGAGGTAAAATCTCTAATGGACTCCGATCAGTATTCTAAGTTCTGCGAAGAAGAAGATAATCACTGAGCTAACAACGATGTGGTCCAAAGCGTCATTTGGAAGAGGTTCGTTTTCATGTCGGATTTCGCTTTGGCTTGATGTCTGAGTCAATTTAGACGATGGATAATAATTCATAGTTCAAAAAATCAAGATTGGTAATTGCAGTTTTCTCTGGAAAACTTTTTTCATTTATTGTGTGAAAGTGTGTTGGATTCTTGATTATAAATTGCACAATTTGCATATTATTCTTGGATACAAGCATTTGCTATGCAGAATAGACCGGACTTGACATGATTGAACGAGCGAGAGTGAGGTAGGCACGTAGAAAAATTATTGAATGTTGTATGGTTTTAATTTGATAGCGGTAGTTTTGTAATTTCCGATCTTGTCCCATCTCTTTCTTTTTGTACCAAAAAGTACAATTTTGCCTGTCTCCGTCTATGGCCCAACAAGTTTTTTTTCTGCTGTCCCACATACCAAATACACCTGAGCAACTTGGCTGTCCGACTTGCAAGTATTACAAGGGTTTTAGAAGATACATGAATGTCCTAGAGAGTTATGAAGAATGCTCGACCATCCCGAAGCATGTCAAATTTCCATGTCTATGACATCGCTTGATCCACCCTCCTCGGTAAGGGTGCTCAAAAACCCGACCAACCCAACTCAACCGAATGAATAATAACTCAACATGAAACAACATGATGTCTGATAGAGTTGTAGAATCTTCAAAACGTAGATATTGGGTGAATATTAGATTACATTTATTTGAACCCAATCTAACCCAACCTAACCCGATGTTCTTTTATTTATTGGATTTAATATGATTGTTGAATCTTTATAATATGTACATTTGAAAATTATATCATCATGTACCCTCTTCATATACATATATTTTCAATTTATTCTCATCTTTATGTAACTCCTTTGTATATATGTTCACTTATATATATATATATATATATATATATGTATATATATATTTGATAGCATATATATATATATGAGCTATCAAATGAAAACCGCTCTCATTTGTGTAAATCATGTAAACCAATCTCATTCATCCATTTTCTTGATCAATGGTCAAGATTAGTTTAGGTTATATTAGGAAATTGAAAAATAAAAATAAAAAATTGTTTTACAATCCCAAAAAAGACAAAATGGTAACTTTGATAGTGGTAATATTAATGGCAACCATATTATGTATATCGTAATATTAATGAAACAAAATCATTTGTAATAATATATTAATTTTATGTTCAAATATTATAAAAAAATAGCATCCATCGTTAAAACAGATCAACAATAAAAATAAAACACATTATAATCAATTTAACATAATGAAACCTTTTGAATAAAAAAAAATTACTACTACATTTCATGAACGAAATAGTTTCATAGTTTCATTAATACACAATTTAACGTAATGCTAGATGAAACATTTGTCATTTTCAAGTTTCCAGTAGATGGATTCGTTTCAATCTAATTATGAAATTGTTTCACTGTTTGCTAATTAAACAACATATTCGTAACAATTATGAAATGGTTTCACTTTTTGCTAATGTCTGATGAGACATTTGTCATTTTCATGTTATTGGTAGATGAATCTGTTTCATTGTGATAATGAAATTGTTTCAATGTTCGCTAATTATATAACATTTTCTTAACAATTATGAAATGGTTTCACTTTCTTTATGCACCAATTTCGTCGGCCAATTTTTTCCAATCCAAACACGTTTCATAGAGTCAATGTATTTATCATTACATGGTTTTGTTAACCATTAAGTGAACAAAATCATCCAAAAAAAATGAAATGAAACAATTTCATCAAATATTGTTGATAAGAAAACAAGATTATGTAAGAACATTATATTACGCAACCAGTTCATCCCCAAAAGTTTCATAAAATAAGCTTCTCATTGAACGTTTTCACGAACCAATCTGCATACGTTTCATAAAACAAGCTCCTCAATGAACGTTTTCATGAACAAATCTAACATGAATCTGTTTCACAGCTAATTATATTTTTACCAGTTCATGAATCTTTGTTTAGATCTGTTACTGATTTCATGGATTAATGAATATAATAATTTTCAATTTTCATATTTTTACCACTAATAAACCGAGAAACCAAATAACAATATTCAAATTTTAAAATTCTAATTTAAATAAACATTTAAAATATTACCATTTATAATTTTTTTATTATGTTATTTTATTTAAGATTTATTAATAACTTCCATATTTAATATAAAACAATGTAAATGACAAATATACCCTTAATGATTAAATTTAATTAAGAAAAAAAAGAAATTTCCCTATTGGTCGAAACTAGTTTACACGGTTTGTAAGAATTAGACGGTTTTCATTTGATCCCGCCTCTCTCTCTCTCTCTCTCTCTCTCTATATATATATATATATATATATATATATATAT